GAATATTAAGCACTTACAACTAAACAAAACAAGATAGTTTCAATTCAATTAATAATAATAAAAAACAACTAACTTATATACAGCAAAAGATATTTCAAATTGTTTATGATCGCGTAGGCCTTACATATACAATATGCAATGTACAATTAGTCTTAAATGTGTGTCTTGTATACATGTTTCGTCAGAATGGGAATTGCTTGGGTTAGTGAGCAGATCCTTGGCTTAACCCATCTACCAAATTGCTGAAGTTGTGCAATTCTAGTAACGTTGGCCACATCAACATGACTAACAGCAACAGCCAGCTGGTCAAGTGAGCTGAGGAGCTGGCACTGGACCCCGTTTCACCGCATTTGCCTGAAAATTAGAGAATCAAAAATGAATTCGATAATATATGAAGACATATAATAGAATCAATAAATGGAAGCTATTATAAATAAAAATGTATATAATAACTGATGGTGATGATCAGAATCCTTATCTTTCTTACTACGGCACTCTTATATGATACAATTTACAGCGGGTAAATATAAAACTATTATATGAATATCACAAACCAAAGAAGGATAGGTTGGCCACTAAATGATGATCGGGAGGCTTTTGAGTGCCTCGATAGCAGGCATCTCCCACGACCAGCTTAGCAGCATTGCCATCCGAGGGCCTGTAGCTGATGCAGACGCCATGTTTTGTGCCCTTGTGCCTGGCAATGATGTAGACGGTGCTGTTCTCGCTCCAAGAACCATGACAGGAGTACTCTGCGTAAATGGGAAACAGATTATATTGGTTGCATCCATTGCAGTTAAAGAGACTCGCTCGTGTGCTTACCCTCCTCGCCATCCAGGCTGCACAGTGGACTCACATCGATGACATTGGGTGCCGTGCAGCCCACCCAAAGCTGTCGCTGTGCATTGTAGTTGGTCACACAGCCAGGCGCATCACGTCGACTGCGCGTTGCTATGAAACCTACACTAGTATCATTGGAGCTGTTCAGCACTAAAACCTGCTGCAACCGATTCGAAGACTCCTGCTGATGGTCTGGCCTCGGCTCTGCAGCATTGCGGCGACTGCGCGCGGGCAGGCCCCGTGTGTTAGAATGCCAGGAGCCACGCTCCGTGCGCTCGGCATTGCGGAAGCTGAGTGTGCTGCGCCTGCCACATAACACAAATAAACAAAGCACAAATTGAGCTGTAGTAGAGATGTTTCTCGTTCTCGTTTGTTGTTCGGTAAACATACCCCTTGTGGCCAAAAGAGCCAGTCTCCAGACCATCGTTCTGATGATGATGATGACCATGTCCAAGATGCGATTTGCCATTGTGATTACGCTTGTGGCGTGTGACCAGGTACGGTGGTCCAATTGCCCCACGCAGATTGTACAGGCCCTCCATGGGGCAAATATGCGGCTCTGGATTGCTAGCTGTGAACGGGGTTTTAAAAAAGGAGCATCATCGCAATGAGTTTAAGTGTACAGCTCAAGAATGCCCTTTAAACTTCCTAGCTTACTCCTGTAAGCTCTTGCTCTTGCTGTAAGCTATTGCTATTAAGCTCCCTATTATTTTCAAATTGTCTTTACCATAGTACTTTAGTGTAGATATACTCTTTGACTTGCTCATGAACCAAGGCTATTTTTGTAGAACTAAATTGTCATTGACTCCGAAAAATATTACAAATTTGGCCAAATTACGATATAATCGTTAATATATTTCAAAGTAACTTCTTCTGCTAGATGCTTCCATCGGACAAACACCCTCAAATCTACCGCATTCAGTACTCAGTGGTTACAGGGTATAAACAGTACACAAACAGAGCGCACACAAGCTTACCCAGCAGCGTTATGTAGGCCATCTTATTGAAGTCAAAGTGATCCGGAGCACAGGCATCCTCTAGTCGAATGGCCGGCTTGCCTGTTTGTATCTCAATGACGTGTGTATCCCGACGGTAGAACATCATGCACATAAAGCCCGATTGGCTGTAATGTTGAAGGGAAGGGGATAGGGGTGGTAAGACAACAGAGCTACGGAATTTTTTTTTTTTTTTTTTGCTTACCAGCCAGTGGTGTAGTGCACCACAGCCATCATTTCGGTTGAGGTCTGTTTGTTTATCTGCTCGCAGAGGGCACGTGTCTCCATGTAGCCGTTGGGCTTAATAATGTGCACAGAGCCATCGCTGTAAAGAAAATTGGAAACGTTTTATTGGCTGTGATGTGTTGCCCTCGGCGTTGTTGTTGCCACTCACTTGGAATGATAATTGTAGACAGCATTCCCCATAAGTGCATGCCAGTGTCGCGGACCCTTGAACCAGGCGGGAAAATCGCAGCGCTCCGCCGCCGGCGGTTTTCGCAGCGACATTATTCGCGAGCCAACCTGGCAGAGCGAGTGAAAAGAGGGATTTGAATGTTGACACTTTGAATGGGGTTTGACTCACTTACCTCGGCGCTGTCTAAGCCATTGCAAGTGGCGTCGCCGGATTGTGCCAGCTTATACTCGGCATCCTTCGAGCTGAGCATGCTTGGGCCACCTGCAAGGGTTATAAAACAAAAAGGATGCTGTAGAACAATTTTCCAGCTGTTTGTTTGACGATTTTCTTACCCATCAGCGAGGAGATTTTCTCGTAAACAAAGCAACGATAACGCTCCTCATTCGAAATGGCATGATGATGTGAGACAAGACCCACCAGATACCTTGAGTTCCCGTCCTTCCATGTGGCCAGACACGTTAGTTCCTCAACTGCAAAGGGTTTGTAATTTCAGGTTTCTTAAACAATGGCGATACTTTAATTTTGTACAAATTTGGTGAAGTATAAGTAACCTGGAACTTCTTGAAAGTATAGATTAAGTCCCATTCTACTACATACAGTACTGCCTTCTTACATTACAGTTGAATATTCCTCATTTAGCAGAACAATTCGCTCATTAAAGAGTTCTTACTAAATTCTGTGGAATCAGCTACAATGTGCACTTACCCGTACTCTCTGTGCCTTGGACATCGGGACAGGCCTGAAAACTTAATAGCAGGCGACTCTCCTCGGTGCAGCTCTCAATGTTCGACACGGGGGATTTGCACTCCCCATGGCCGCGATTATAAGTGAATATAAAGGGACCTGTGGAAGGGAAGCAACTCAATGATAATGATGATGATAATAATGATGATGTTGTTGATGTTGACCATAAAGCATTGCATTGAGATAAATGAAAGTTGGAACTCACCCTTTAGTGGGCACTTGACCGGTTCAGCGCTCTCACGGAACAGCGAATAGAGCAGAGCATCGCCCGGAATTTGATCGCAGAGATTCTGTAAAGTCTCACGGCCCTTGCAATGGTCTGGGGGACATGATTATTTGAAAGCACACATAGGAATACAATTAATGCAAATCGCTAAACAAGTTGAAAAACAAACAAACACACAGACGAAGACAAAGGAAGGCGAAAGAAATAAGTAGAAATTGGGAATGGGAATATGTAAGTAGTTTGGATGGACTTAGTAGAATAGCAAAAGTATAGTAAGATATATATATATATTGTTAGTTAGAGATAGAGAGATAGAGAGAAGCAACACATTTAGGTGAATCGATTTTTAGTTTTCGTAGGGTATCAAATGATAAAAACAATGCTACAAAGTTCTAAAAAGATTGGTGCAGCGCACTGAAAGCTGGCGACGCCTTGCCCATGATCCAAGTCAACGTCATGATCCAAGTCAATGCCACTTAAATTGCACGGATCTTTTGGTTGACGACACTTGAAACTTGGAAGAAGACCTTGGAAGAGAGCTCGGCAGCTTCGAGTGCACCACAACGTGAAACAGCAACAATTTCTGTTGAAATGTGTGTTAACAAATAAAAAATGAGAACAAAAAAATACAAAATAAAGACACAAGTATATCTTCTGTATCAGCTGAAACAATGCTTAATGTTTATAGCACTGCTGAACTGAATTTATTAAAATCACTTGAACGTATTATTAGGTTGTAATATTTGTTTTTATCGAAAAGGAAAGAAAAAGAACACATAGTCGGTTCCGGCTCTCAACACAAAATTGAAAGTTCATTAACATGGCAAAGAAAAGTTTATTTTCTTGCTAGATTGAGCAAAAACAAAAAAAAACAAAAATAAAATATATGTAAGTTTTAGAAAGATATTAAATTATTTATTATAAATACTCATATGCTAAGGAAATAAATAAATGTTAAGTACTTTGATTTGCTGCTTCGCAAATATATATATAATCGTAGTCAAGTTTATTTTTTTTTTACTTTTTTTTTTTTTTTTTTTTTGGTATAGGGTCCTCTCTTTTTAGCAATATTGGAGTGTTTTCAACGTATATGTACGTTATGCTTCTAATAATAATAATAACGATAATAACAATGATAATAATAATAATAATAATATATTTAGATATGGTTAGGCAACCAACAAACAGGCAGAGTTATAAATACATCTAAAAGGCGAAAGCCTTTGGTTAAAGCTCTAAAATCAAATTCTTTAAACAAGCACACGCAGAGCAGTGTTGGTAAACGAAATTTAACAAAAACTATGTACAAATGCAGGACACATGTGTGTGTAGGTGTTTGTGTCTGTGTATGTGTGGGCCAGCTCTTATGACCTCTTTGAGTAATGATTGTAATTAAGTAGCAACTAGAGTTGATGAAAAGCATAACGGTATAACAAGCTAACGGTATACGTTTGGGTGTGGTGTATCTATGTCTGTGTATATGTGGGAGTGTGTGTATGTATGGCAGCAACAACTACGGCAGCGAAGCTTTATATATATATATATGTATATATATCATGACCAGGCACAAAGTACAACAGCACAGACATTAAAAATAATCTACTTTTGCTTTTCGTTTTTTAGGTTTTAATATCTTTTGTTCGGACACTCACACATACATACAAAGATAGAGATTTACACATATGTAAAGTGTAATATTTATATAGCTGAACTATGATACGGACTTTGTAGTAAGTAGCCCATTGTAACGCAAACGCACGCATACAGAGAGACAAATACACAACATTTAGTACGAAACGGAATGAAAACGACACACATCTATGAAATGGGAATGGAACATTATGAAATGGAACCGAGAGCAGAAATTGTTGAGTTTCATGTTTAAATTACATTAATTAAGTGACAAACACACATAAATAACCGAAAGAATAAGTAAATGTATTGGTATTACAGTAACAACTAACTAAAAGGTACAAACAGGTACACACACATATTATTTAATTAAAAACGGAAACAACAACACGGTTGGGTAGGGTGAGGTGGGGCGGGTTCGGGTTAGGGATAAAGTGTGTAAACTCAAAGAGCGAATAGAAGTAGAAGTAGTAGAAATAATAGTAGCAGTAGATGTACAAGTAGTAGTAAGGTAAGTAGTAAGATAGCAATAGGTATTGTTTAGGTTAGGTTAGGTTAGAATGTAGTAAGAAGAAAGTACAAGTAATTGGATAAATGAGAGACAATTATACTAGCGGTCACCGGGCAGCCCATCCCAACATTTCTTTATCATCATGTACAATATGTATACAAAATATATATATATTGCCATATATTTTTTATTTTAAATTTTTCCTATGGCAAAAAATTGTATTTTTTTTTTTTTTTTTTTTTTTTTTTTTTTAATTTAGCTGAAATCCTTGAAT